GGGAGCGGAGCGCAGGCAGCCCTGGGCGAAGCACGTGTGTCTGTTCCGGGGGAGCACAGGGAGGGCTTTGTCTCTGAGGCAGTTCCTGGCTCTGTTATCAGAGGAGGCAGGACGGTGTTTGGTGGGTCGGCTGCCAGGTGAGGTGGGGGGTGGCATCCCCGCGTAGGTGTGGGCTGCGATAGAAAAAGGCTTCCTCGCCCTGCGCTAGGGGATGAGCCCTCAGCAGAGCGGTGGTCTGAATTTCTGTGGAATCTCGCAGGAACGTGCTCTCGCTGTGCAAGGAGTTGCAGCTCGGAGATGCTTAATTACTGCGGAACTTACCTTATGGAAAAGATGGTGAAAACTGAAGCGTCAGTCATGCATTACTGAGTGAAGTTCTGACTTTTGGATAAAGTCTCCGAAGTAATTATGGGGGGAAATGCTGCATAAGGCCTAGATTTTCATGAATCCTCTTGTGTTTCCCAAAATGAGAAACTGGACAGGGACAGACTGCTAAAGGCTCAACTCGTAAGGTTATATAATTTCTTTAGTAGTTCTAATTTATTTTATGGTTAGGGATCATTATATGTTGGTGGTTGAGGTTGCTGTGAAAGCACTAATAACTCCCTCATGTTGGAAATGGAAGGATAATTATTCTAGAACATGCCTTCTATTCGGGCTCTTCAGAATATGCCCTATCCAAAAAAAAAAAAAAAAAGGTGTAAGCCGTTATTACACACGTGAAAGCTGCAGTTACAGATACTTCCACGCTACCTCATGTAGGATGTTGAAGACTATAGGGTGATCATTTATGTGTGTATTTTTGTTTTATTTTAAAATTTCTCTGCAGAAAATGATGGGTAGTGTTTCTCATCCTTCACCTGTTACTAGTTTCCCTTTCGGAATGTCACTTGATATAATTGAATCTTTGACCTCAGTGCATTTTTTTTGGCAATTCATGGCCTTGCATATGCGATATTTTGAATAGGAATGTTTTCATAAGTTAACTTACTTTATTATCTATAGCTAGGTTTTTTTTCTTCATTAATAGAGATATTTGAAACAAGAAGTGTTTCTAGCATACCTTTACAAATATGGAAGTTGGCTTATCGTTGTTTCTTGACTGGACATTTTTTGGGGCCTTCTTTTTAGCCCTTCTTAAATTCTTCTCTGTTCTTACTATAGAAACTCTTTTTTACTCTGTCTCAATTTTTCTTTCTGAAACTGAATATATGTTTTCTCACATTATGTGAGAAGCATCAATTTTCCTTTTCCTTCAATGCAAATGTTAGCTTAAAAGTTTCTTGCAAGTCCACTAAGAATAGTCAGAAATGTCTGCTATGTGCAAGGTTATACAATAAATTCAGTTAGGCAGGTAAACAGACTTCCTCTTATTGCTTCTCTTCATTCTTTTGTATCAGGATGAGATTATATTTCTGTTTTTTTGGCACTTGATTTAAATTTGTTTTTGTCTTTGAGGAACTTCTTGTACTAATTTTTAAATGAATTCTCCATTTTCTTTACTTTTCTTCCCTCACTTGGGAATATTGGGGAAAAAAAAGACTTATTTTTTTAAAAACATCATTTCCTAGTTTTGTTTGCATCCTCAAGCACAAGAGGAAGATTTGCCTAGATTTGTCTGTTCTGTGCTTTCCAAAAAGCACTGTATTAGGAAGTACCGTACATCCCATGAAAATGGACAACTCTTGTATCCAGTTTAAATCTTTAAGCATGTAGTGGTGGTGTGATATTCCTTCTGCAGTAAGTAAGACTAGCAAGGACTTAAAGCAGAAACCTCTGAGGTTTGTAAGCTTGCACATTTAAGGGAAGCGTTATTCTTGTACTGTCCATTAAGATGTTTTACTTGAAATTGTAGGCCTTAGATTTAACAAAATTTCTCTTTGGGGCTCATAAAATGGTCAAAAGTTACTATCTTTTTGCTCTGTGTTTTTTTTTTCCTTTTTTTTTTTTTAGTTTATGTTGTTATGGTGAGAACTATAAGGCTTTAGTTTGCCCTCGGGAACCAACTGGTGTGACATATGCTTCTGCATCACTTGGTACAGGTGTGTGGCTGCACAGACCCTTTTTAGATTGGGACTGTCTACTGCAGCCGCTCAGTACCTCCCAGTAGCTGAAGACTGCTGCTTCCGTGCCTTAGTGGTAAAGTGGTTTGTAGGAGCGCGCTCTGATCCACTCAGTCAAGTTTATCTGGGTTAGCTGTTGCCACTTATTTAAATTGTCTAAACTGATATGTTTGATTTTTGCCCGGAGTGGATTAGGGAGTGCTCCCGTGACCAGTGCTGCAGCAGAGCTGTGAGAACTGTAACCTTTGGCAGAGAGGAAGAAACCAACAGCTGGGGCAGTAATATCTTTGACCGCCGTAGCTGTTTCTAGGCTATTGGAGCTCCATAGTGATGTATAACAGATCTTGTATGGTGCTGGCTAGCCTAGTAGTGTGCACTTGGTCTGGTGGACAGGGTTGTATTTCTGCTGAATTAGCTAGAGCGCAAGATACAAAGCTTTTATTGGCTTTATGCCCATTGTAGGATGACAGATGACATCTAATCTGGCATGAAGTTAGAGTACTGTGGAAAAACTACTCTGTAGCTGTAACACCTGCTGATACAAAATTAACTCATCAAACTTCTTTGAATGAATTTGATGGCAGAGTGCGATTTAGACAGATGGGCAGTTTATATCAAATGACTGTAAAATTTTGAATCTGTATTAAATGTCTTGTAGGTAGATTTACTGCACTCTTGAATTGTAAACTGAAGGAGATGGTTCACAGCCTGAGTAACAAAAATCAGTGAAATGCTATTTGATTTGGTAACGTATGCTTTAGAAGTGGATTAAAATTAGTTCTAATTATCCGCTGCTTTTATTCATTCTTATCCAACTGTGACCAGTCATTCCAGTTTTTTTATTGTGGCAAGAATCTTCATGAGGAATACTTATCGAACATATTTAGTCAGCACACAAGTTGGAGCGTTTGCAGCATAGGAAACATTCACATCCATACAATGCATGTATGTAGTGTTACTTTTTAAAAAACGAAACAAAATATGAACTAGTGTGCAGAGTTTTGTAAAAAGTATAGCTTAGTATAGTTCAAATTTGTTTCCAGTCAATTTAACGTAAATTTAAACCAAAATAACATTGGTAAACTTTTACATTGCTTAAATTGCTCTAAAATTCTCAATGAAATTTAAACCAATATAGCTCTATTTGTAAACAAGCCTTCCAGTCAGGTTACTTGCTAAACACCAAATAAAATAAGGTTTTATTTCTGTGAGAAAATATTAATGATTTTCCTTTTTCCCTCTCTATGTAGTAATTTTAAAACCTTCTGTTACCACATATAATCAGTCACTCACATTATCTGTAATATAAAATGTTGCAGTTGACTTAAAGCATACCGTTTTAAGGTAAACCTTCGTGTACAAGTGTTTCTTCGTGTAATAATGTGTTACCGTTTCAACCACATTTTGTTTTTTGTTTGTTTTTAATAGTTTAAATCACTCTTTATTTTTGCTTCAGAACATTTCTAGTGTGTAGTAATGTACACAAATTTGCAAGTATGGGTTAGGATAGCGTTGGCATCAGCAGTAGTTCTGAACTTGATGCTCTTCCTTGTGCACACGTATGGGAGGAAACGTGCCTGCAGCACCATCTCTGCAGCCTCATGACTAAGCTGGGTCGCTTCTCAAGCTGGGATGGATCATCTCATGTCTCTTTCCATTTAATTGGATGCCCTCACTGTCCTGACTGGAATTTACTTCAATTTTCTGTCTTATTTTCTGTATCAAGCCCTATGCTAAACCCTACCAAATCAGGGGAGACTCTGCTTTTCTAGCCCTTTCTAGTTTGCCTCCTCTGACCGTCAGGCCGTCTCTTGCGGCGCGAATGGGGAGAGCTGTGCCTTCTGCAGGCTCCAGGGGAACGCCTGAGCCGAGGCTGCCATGACCCTAGCAGGTTCAGTTGCAGAAACTGGAAATGAGTTTTAATTCTGTGACAGGAAAGCAGAGTCAGTTGCTGGTGTGTATTGCCGTTTGGGAATCTCTGTTTTTGGGTGCGTTGTTGTGTTTTTGTATAAATGAAAATAAACCTTCTGATTCACATTTTTCTCTTGTTTTCTACTTTCAATAATGAATATAGAAATTCTCCTTCATTAACATAGCTATGGAAGGCTTTCACCAATTCTAGATTTCAAATGTGTACTTCTAAGTTCCTTAATCTTTAAATCATCTTATTGTTAGGATAATTCTGTCAGTAGACTGTGGAGCAAATTATTATTTTTCTGGATAAGCAAACCTTGTTTACAACTGTTTAAGGAGTCAGTACTCTGAACTATTATTTCCCCTATCATTACAAGTTTTCTCTAGTTCTATTCTTTGAAGAAGGATTATACTAATAAAAGTAAAAGCATAAACACTACATTTTACTCTTCAGCAGTGAATCTGTCTAGTACATGTTTTCTCTCTCGTTGTTTCCTGAAAAACTAACAAGAAATTACCCAAGATATTTATACTGAGTTAAAATCTGTCAGATATGTTTTATCAGACACAGAAACTACTACTACAGCTACTTGCACACTTAATTTTTTAATGCAGAGTTATATCTGTAGTATTTAAATGACATGTCAGTCTAATATAATACCTCTGGAAGTGTTTTTACTGTGAGAGTTTGTATAGGTTTTCCACTTGCTCAGGTAAATACGCCAGAAGCTTTTAAGGGAAACTTAGAGTCCACTACTAATCTGATTTAATATATTGCTAATTTTTTTTTGGTAGATTGTGATGCAACCAGCAGCTGTGGTTTGTTCCAGCTCTTGCTGTTTTTCAGTTAGAATCTTGTCAAATGAATTCTATTCTTTAAATTTTCTATATTGTGCAAGCTTTAAGGTTTCAGTTTTAGCTCAGGCATTTACTTATCGGTGTGCATATAGGCACATAGGCAGACATACTCTACCCTAGGTGTTCGGTTGTGGTTTTATTTGGATAATTTGACAATGCACGGTTGCCACCCGTCAGAATTGCAGCGCAGTCCAACACTTTTTTACCAACGCTTTTTAATTGGACTGTTACATTCTTAATTGTCACAAAATATTTAATGACATTTGCAATTTTAGTTGCTCAGTTCTTGTTAAGGATAAGTTAAACATCTACCTGAAAAATAGAAGTTAATCAACAAAAATATACACTTGTTAGACACACCTCACTCCTGTTAAAATCTGTAACCGAGGAAACAGTCCAGCGTATACTCTTTCCAGTATTCACAAAGCAAGTAGCATTCCTCCTTTTTGATCCCAGCTCCTTAAACTGCATGGCACTTTGCTACAAAATAATTTCCCTTTTCTGCAGGAAAAGCACAGAATAGTTTCTGACCAGTTCACCTGCTTTGAAGCTCTTCCATTCAGACCACTGAATTGGCAGGATTTTGCTGGGGAATAAGATTGCGAAGAGCATGATGGGCTGACCAAGGGGATTAGATAGGCGCTAGGGGGAAGCACAGCTGAGAAGTTGCATAAGCAAATTTGGGAGTTGGAAGTAACCAAAATAAAGAATCTTATTTTTGGGTTTGAATAGTATCCCTACTTTGCAAGCTTACCCTGTGGGAGAGAGAGTGCTTTGGACTGTCATTTTGTTCTAGAATTAAAATTATTTTCTTTTACAATAACCTCAGTATTCATGTGAATAAACCATTTTTGTGGAACGAAGATGTGGTGGTTGTTGGATAAGAACTGTAAAAGATATTTGTGCAATCCCTCTAAATCCTGTATGATCATGCAAACTGGTTTTTAAGTAACAGCTTAAAATTGTAAGGATATTCCCAATGGATGTGTGAAACATGCTGCTATGAATGATGTGTTTGGAAGTCCCTAGGAATTTTATTTTAAGGGCAATACCTTACGCATAATCTTAGTTTTAAAATATTTTGTGTATTACTTTTAAATGTACCATCCAAAATTACTGTTTAATATTAAAGTTAGAATAGAATAATTGCTCGTTGTTCTGAGCTTGTTAACTTAAAGTATAACTGCTTTGGCTGTTCTTTGTGGATCTTAGGGCAGCTGGGAAAGTCTTTCATATTCTGAAAAGCTCAGCTGATCTGGCAGTTTAAAAAAAAAAACAAAAAAATCATAAAATCATTTATTTTTAATCTTGATCTTCTAGGAATGGCTCCTGTCCTGTTATTTTCATTTATTTTTTAGTTCTTGTTATCATGTTGAATTGAATAGTTGGCCAGGTAACTCCACTTGGGTTTTTTTAGCGTGATTCTGCTTAGTATTGTTTGATTAGCAAAAGTGGAACTTAATTGAGCATTTAATGTGGAAGAAAAATCTAGCACCCTGTTCAAGATCTTGTTACCGTATCTTGGTAGCGCGATACGGATTGTGTTTGAATTAATAAAGATAGAGAGAGTATACCTAAGTTTGGGAATTCCATGTTTGGCACTTTGGATTTCTATAAATTTTGGTGCTATGATGATGAGCTGTGAAAGTACATTAAGAAACAGAGAGTGACATTAGTGAGATGACTTCTTTCTAGTTAACATAGTGAAATGAAACCTGCGCTTCCTAAAGGTAACCTTTGAAATTGTTTTTAGCCACTGTGATGAGAGAGTTCCTTGTTAATGTGTAACAAGTAGGCTTTATGTAGGCAGTTCCTTCAGGTACACTTCTTAACTTTTATAGTAGTGCTGTTTACTGTCCTGGGGATCTGATATTTAATCTTGACTATTGTTTGTGCCAGATTCTGGGTCATCTTCAGTGTCTTTTGAGAGCGTTTTTTTTGTAATGCTAAGGATGGAAATGTAAGCGTTACGTTTTTGACGTTACTTACGTTATGTATCAGCAAATGGGGAAGCCAAATCAGATGTCCCCAGGAAGAAATGCTTTAATGTGGTGACTGATAGTAGTGATCTGAGGCACATACACATTTGGATCACATTTGATCTTTTTTGGAAATAATAGTTCTTACAGTTTTGTTCCTGACATATTTCTAGTAAAAAATACGGAATTTAAATGTAAGGGAAAAACTAGACTGTCACTTTTGCAACTGAAGCAAACTCAAGTGTTTTATCTCTGTGTATGCTAGTAATTTTAAGACTTCTTTCAGGAGGTGTTGGAACTTCTTATTTTGAATTTAGCAGGCTTTGATCTTAGCAATTGCTGTATTGAGAGTTCTGGCTCATTATACAAAAGCCATATTTCAGACTTTTAAATTTATTCCACTCATTTAGTTTTACGAGGAAATTAGTATAAACACAGGTGTGTTTGTGTATGTGTGTGTGTACGTGTGTCTATATATATATATATATATATACACACACGTTAACAAACGATCTTAAACTAGTGTCTTTAGTAATGATTTTTAAATGTGACAGGGCAATTAAATTGTTTTTGGAATAGATGGAAGAGAAGGACTGGGTAGTGTGAAAGATTAATAATAATGACTCTCGTTTTAAAAGAATATAAAAATGTTGTAAATATGTACATGTTTCTTTTAACATAACTATTAATTAGTTATTTTATTTTGGTGGAGGTGGTACATACCTTAAGAAAAAAGGCCTAGGTAGGCATAGGTAGGCTTTCTTCTGCAGATTTCATTTACTGACTTTTGTTCTATGTTGAAAATGTCGATGTTGAAAGAGTTGACTCAGCTTTTATTTTATAAACGTGTGATGATTTTGTTAAACAGACAAAACGTATGAAGATTTCAGTTGTTGGAGCCAGAAATCAGAAGAAATAACATTTTATTTTTCCCCACTCTAGATTTTCAACTGAACTCTCACCTATCAACACTGGCAAATATTCACAAGATTTACCACACCCTCAATAGGCTGGTAACGACTTGCCATTTTCTTTCAACAGAATAGCTGGGGCTTCAGTCCAGAATGTATTTGTGATTGAAATCATTAAATGATTATGTTTTTAAACACTGTTACTGTCTTTTTGTATTGGAGGAGAATGAGTAAAGGGAAGGCTGCGGGTTTTGAAACTAGTGAATTAAAAGATAAATAGTAGTAGTAGTAAAAAATGAACGATTATGCTCCAAGGGTCAAAGCGAAGTTTGAGCTGTGTTCACAGAAATATTGGATGTAATAGATGCTTTTGTGTGTAAGGCTTCCCAGATATATCAGGTAATGGTGATAATCGTCACTATCCAGTTCCTTATAGTTGTCATGGAAAATGCATTGAATGAATGAACGAACTGTCCTGTTATGTGAAGAGTGAAGCAGGAGTTTTTGAAAACTGTCCCTGCTTGTTTGCTGTGCATTTACATTTTTTTTATTGCAGCTGTTGCTGGAACTATGCATACAGCTTCTGGCTGTACACTGCAGATCTAGTGGAAAAGGCACTGTCCAAAAAAAGGGGTAACTGGTTTCTAAGATTGCAGTCAGTTTTCCGTGTTTTTTCTTGGGAGCGCTTTGTGTTTGTCTTTGAACAGAGCACTTTCATGGTAGTTTTAAAGTTTCTGATGCTGACACTTATTAATTAAATTGTTTAAAACAGCACTGCGAAATTCTCCACGTAGTGGATAATTATTTCTACTCTTCAAACATAGTTTGATTATATTTTTGATCAAACATGTTCAAAAATATTTTTTTAACATTACTTAACAGATTATCCTTGAACTTTTTACACTTGCAAGGGTAACTTTTTAGATGAGTATGAACTGAAAACACAAATACTCTGCAGTCGTAGATAGATGTTTCTCAAGTAATGAAGATGAATTCAGTAGCATATCAATTAAAGGTTAAAAACACCCCTGAGAGGTGAAGATTGCTATATCATTTAACTGTATGGTTCCTTTTCTTTTGCAGAATCTGACGGAGGACGTTGGTCAAGACGAGCACCAGACAGGTATTTAATAGGGACATAGAAGAAATATATTTAAACATGCTTCATAAAAGAAGTCTCACTATAATTATTGAAACTGTTATTTTAGAAAGCTAAAGAAAATTCAGAAGCCAACTGCCAGTTTTTTTTGAAATTATGTCTTCAAATATGTCTTCAAAATGAATTTTCATGCTTTTAGTTTCTCACTTTGTGAAGAGCTCCCATAAGTTTCAACGATATCTATCATTTTGCTGTTTCTTAGTACTAAGTTCTTTAGAACACCTTATGGATAACTTCTCTCATTCTTTGGCTCAGCCAATTAGATTAGTGGGACATCCCTGTTGTTACAGTGTTTTGACTCTTGAAAGAGCATTAGTGAGAAGAAGCAGAAGCAAGACCTCTTTCGGTTTTTGTGTTGCCTGTGGCCAAGTTTAAATGCTGTGCTCCAAACAACCCAAATATTTCCTCGAGTAGTTTTGATTCAGAAACGTGATCCTGTTTCTTGTGCAGATTTTCAAGAAATGTCTGAGGGTTGTTTCTTGGTTCCAAATCTGTTTTCTAGTTAGTAAAATATCGTAGGTTTTGAGGCCTTCATGTGAGGTGCTTGTTACTAGCTCGTTGCTGTTCTTGATCCACCAGCAGTTGCGGTTTGTGACTTGATGCCTTGCAACTTTTGTTACCCCCTTTGGGCTTGTTACTTATGAACTGGCATATTCCTTGAATTCCTTTATCTTTGTTTCAGGCATGATACCTATGAGGAAAGGAAAATAATTTACTGGCTTCAAGCGCTGATCGTTCAGCAGAACAGTTCTTTAAAACTGACCGTATCTGTCTTACCATCTATCTCAGTTTTTCTCAGTCCTGAGGTACTAGCTGTGTTTGCAAAAGTTACCCTGAGCACTAAAAAAAGAGTGTAGAGTGATGTCAGCTCCTGCTGTAGACTACTGGGACATCATTTATAAATCTAGCACACTTTCAGCCTAGGGTTATGAGAAGAGATGCACGAGACTGAATTGTTTGGGATCTGACAGGGCTCACTTTGGACTTATACACCATCCTCCCTACACTGAAAGGTGATTTTGTTTCGTAGTTGAACCATCTTGACCTACTCTGAAAGGGTTCTAGCGAATATTTTCCCTTGATGTGCTTAGTGATTTGTATATGAAAAACCTCTGCACAAGAGGGTTGAGACATGTAGTTTCAGGACTCTTGGAGCTTTTATTGGACGTCCATGTGTTAGAACTCATGTCCTCTTGCATCTCCTGATGGAGACCTCAGAATTTTCTTTTTAATGGTCTAGATAGTCAATGCAAAGCCAGATACGTAATGATTTCATGTATGAAAGGTTGTTCTGTACAGATGTTCTGTAATCTTCGTTTACTGTTGATCACAAAATCTGTTGTGAAGCATTAAGTGCTGTAGGTCCCTTCTGTCACTGATTAGAAAAAGTAGGAATGCTTCAGGTATTTGGAATTTGTCTTATATCTTATCTGGCGCTTTGATCCTAAAGGTCAATATAAGAAATTAATCTCAGAGCTCTCATTCTCTTGCCTGGAAGATGTTTGAGCGTGTTGTCTTTGATGAACTGCTTTATTCCAACACTCATGGCTGTCTTATTCCTTACATGTGTTGTTTCAATTAAGCTGTTTCAACAGCTTAAACATGTCCGTTGAATGAGCTTGGGCACAAAAGCCTGGTAAGGAATGTTATTTTTATAGTAGTTGCAGAAGATTATAATCTTCCAAACCAAGAAGAAGTATGAAATAAAAATGGAAAGTAGGGATTGCTACTGATTTGGCGCCTCATCATCTGATTTCGTTTCAGTGTTTCTTACACTTTTGTCCTGTATTTTATCTCCTTGCAGAAAAAAGATGAAGCCACATTGCATGCATAACTTCAAGCCTTGAATTCAGTCAGTGTGCGCTGGGTTTTCCTCATACGAGGACAAATGCAAAGAACTCTTCTGGCCTTCTGTGTATGTAGTGTAGAATAGGCCCTTTATTTATGGTCTTGAGCGTCTAGTTCACATGGGACTTGACACTTCTGGAACATCTTGATGGATAACCCTGTGTAAATCTAAAGAAAACTACTTTTGCAAATTGTTTAATTCCTACTTGCTTAAAGTTTATAATTTCTATTTTCCATTGTTACGGATTGCAAATGATGCTGAGAAGTGTCAGGTCCTATTTTCTTACATAACTTATAGAACCGCATAAGTGCTGTATTATTTGAAGTCCTATGCCAAGAATGCAGTTGAAAGTCATGTTAGTAATCTGTCACAAAATATTCCTCCAATGTTGCCAAACTCAGCTAAAGGTGATTTTTTTTGTCTCAGATTTTCTTATACTCTGAATCCTTTGGAGCAAGTCTGATACTTAAAGATTTTTTTTTCCCCTGACATAAGTGTCTTTTTTAAAATTAGTACCGTGTTTGTCCTATTTTGGAGATGACTTCAAAAATACGTATATTTAAATCTGATTGAGACCTCTAGAAGCTATTTAGAAAAATGGAATATTTCAACTTTGCATCAACATTTATAATGAGCTTTTAATGGCGTCATATATTTATTCAAAGCAATTGTTTCAGAGCTAGCAATAAATATACCGAATACCTAAATTACTTTAAACAAATTACATCTTTTGTAAGTATTATCCAGATTTTCTTCCAGAACCTAAATCTCAGAGCACAAGATAGCATTTTCCAAAAACCTTCAAAGATTTGGCAGCAAACAGAGTCCTTACTTCAAAATACCAGTCACAATTATGATTACAGTCTCATAAAACATTAGCATTCGGTATGTATATATGTGAAAAATAAGGCTGTAAATGTGGTACGGATCTTTGCCTTATCATCCTCATGTAATGGTAACAATCACAGACAGTCACCTTGTGAAAACAGCTTCTTTTTTTCTAGTATCTACATGCATTAACTTGGAAGATTCTGACTCACTAGAATTTGAAGTAACAGTTGCTTTTATGTCAGAACTGCAGAGCTAGCAACTTGTTAATAGTTAAAGTTATGATTTGATTATTAAGTTGTGACTTGTTCACCTATTCCAAATAAAATGTTTTTTAAAGTAAAAATTCCCTGTTGTCAGCTGGCTGGTTTAAAATAAGTAGATGACGTCTTCAGCAAAACAAGCCTTCACTGCTGTCCTTGGAGTGGAGCTTGTGGAAAATTTTTGCCTTTACTCTGTTGTTATCATCGTCGTCCTTTTAGAGAAGAAAACACTCGTGAGTCTGAAACACTTCCCGTAGTGTGAAGTTCAAGATGGAGGAGATAACGTTTTTCTTGGAACACAGGCTTTTATAACAAGATTGCAAATTGTGTTTGTTTTGATGAGCATGTTGGTTTTCTCATCTTGTTTCTGAAAAATCATGATTAACCCTGTTCATGATGGTCTTGTTGCATCGTTAAGTGAGCAGCTATGCCTTTCCAATGGCTTCAGCATTCACAGTTTCTAATTAGTTTTCTTTTGAAACATCCCTCAAGCTACTTAAGCCTCAGAAGAGCAAGATTATTCACAGGCATTATCTTGAGAGAAGGTGAAAATTACGTGTCTGTTAATCGCTTCTCTAAGGAGACAGTTTGTAGGATTCTTATTTACTGACCACTCTGTGTTTTTTTTGTTTGCTTGTTTTTTTGGTCTAGTTTTGTTGCTGTTTTAGGAGTATCCTTCCCTTGTGGCGCTTATCTTGCATATTATTTTAAATTTCTTGGGTGAAACGTAGCTCTTGAGTTGGTATTTCTCTTTAACTTTGTCTCTTGCATATTTGAAAGAATTGAATAGAGCATTTGGCATACAGCATTTATACTCGGCAGGCTTTTGATTGATGGTGGCCTATTCAGCAGCCATTTGGAGGCTCTGCTTTGCAAATGCTAGTTTCAAGCGTCAAAAAACCAGTAAGAACCAGGAGGGTTCTGTTAGTCTTGAGTTGAGACCCAGGAGTAAGAAACTTTGAAGATAATCACAACAGAGAAGCCACTCTCGGTAAGTAAAGTTCCTGTCAAACTTTGTATGAAGTCAGAGGGAGCTGTGTGTGCATCTGTGTGTGATCAGGCCTGTGACAAGAGAAGTTAGTTATGAAAAGCTAAGCTAGAAATTGCATTTAAAATTAGACTTTTTTTCCCCACAAAATTCCTTCTATCAAATAAGAACTTGCCTGAAACAAAAAAAGTAAACTGTTGTAGATTTTAATCTTCAGATGGAAATATAAGATAGAAATATCCTGCCTGTTGAACTTTCAAAATTTGTTACAAGGAAGTGATAACTGCCCTTCCAACTTAATATACTGATTCTAATCATAAAAGTAAATTTTCAAAGTAATGTCCTTATACTGTGTTCTTTGGGGGTTTATAGGTCATTCAGCAATTAAATTGCAGTGAAGACTTGGTCTAAAACTCAGTTACTAAAATCTTAAATCCCTAAGAGCATAGGAAACATGTTTGTCCTCTTGGTGTCTTTGTGTGTGGGGGGATACATGTGCATTTAATAGCCACTTAAAAATTTCTGAGCTATCTCTTTTCTTCCCTTTCCTGTCACTTTGAGAGCTGCAACTAGATGCATTCAAACCAAGAAAGGGCACAAGTGTTTCATGAGAGTCACTGGAGGAACTGGGATATGAATGCTATTACCAGTTTAAGCCTTTAAATGAAGTTAGGAGATTCTCCTAAAAATATTCTATCTTTCAATGAGAAAAGGACTTCATGCAGGAATTCTTAGGTGTAATTCTTTGGTTTGTCTGGGGTTGCAGATTTAACAAAAATTCTTCCATTCTAGGCCTTTTTTTAACCAACTTTCGCTTGCTTCTCTTCTTACTGAGACCTTGCATATTTCTTTTCCCAATAACCAAAAGCTAAACTGATAACCACTTCCCAAAATAACAAGCACTAGGAGGACTAGACAAGCTGGGTTTTTCTCTGTGTGTGTGTGTGTGTGTGGTTTTTTTTGTTTTTTTTTTTTAGCAGCATCCAATACCTATGGCCACATGTTTTTAAATGCCTTTTTATTAAAAAAAGAAAAAGTATTTATGAATACAAACAATTGAATCAAATTGCTCTCAAAGGAAAGGAGATAGCTACAGGTTGTATTCAAGTACTCAAGCTCATACGCATTTTCCAGCATGAGGTGTTTGTTCATTAGCTCATGTTTTTCATTTAAGTTTAGTTTGTGTCTGGCTGTTCGTAGGTCTGAATCTGACAATCTCTAGCTATCTGTTAAGTTCTACTGTCATCTTAAGTGTTTTTAGTTTGTGTAGGTTTTCAGATAAATGCTTTCTGGCAGAATCTTTAGAAATTGATTTAAAGAGCAATAAAGGATCACACTTTAAGTAACTTGCAGGAATACGGTTCTGCAGTATTATTAATTTGCAGGCATGGCAAGGTGGAACAAATGACATTCAGCAGGTTAGGTTCCCTTGGTTCCTTTAGTCTGGTTTAGTAAAAAGCATTTGTGTTTTTTTTTTGTTTTTGACAGTCTGTTTCAACTATATCTGATATTGTTGAGAAGATGAGAATACCATGACTGTTAATTTCATTTTGTAATATATTCTGGACAGTACTTCTACAAGTGTATTTTTCTGAAACAGCCATTGTGATGTTTTCATATCTTGCATCACTCTGTGATAGCAGTTGATGGGGTATAATGCTTGGAGGTTTGTTGCTAACCAGTTAAATTACAATTTGAATGTACAATATGCTTAAAGCTTTCTTTCTAAAAGATAGTCTTAGTGCAGGTGTGGCCATACTTTCCTGGGAGGGTGCTTGCGGGGAGAGGGGGTTATATTTGAAAAAAATGGAATATGTAGGAAAAATTTTTGAATTGGAGAGAGTATTTCTTGAACTAGAGAGATTTATTCTTAATAAAGGTAAGACCGAAGAAGACATACCAAGTGGGAAAGCTTTATTAATTGAAATCAAATTAGTTCGTCTTAATATGAAAACTGATTTGAACATCTTGCCTAATATTGGAAAAATACATACTTTCATATGCATACTGTGTGTATGCATAATAGCTTCAGTGCATGTTTAAAGTAAAATATATGTAGCAAAGCCTGTGTGAGGCTGTAAGGTTCCTTACATCTGTTTCTCCTATGACAGGAGAGAGACTTTCAAAGATACGAAGAATAGGTAAGCCTATCAGTTTTTAGGTAAGCCATCAGTTTTTGTTGGGAATTGGGCCTCTCACTTCAGTCTGTGGCCTTGGTGTCAAAAAAGTGGATGAAGGTTTATTGTTTGCCTCTCTTGCTGTGAGTAAAAAAAAAAAAAAAAATAAATTTCTGAGCATCTTAATAACACATAGCTATGTATGGATGCTATTGAAGCTAAGAGAAGGTAGATTAGGCATGCTGAAGTTCTTTGTATTTTCTTGCAAGTTTCTTTGGCATCTCTTTTGTATCTGGATTTTATACCTCACCTTTCTCTTCCTTTCCTTTTTAAATTCTTTGCATAACACTTAGAGCTTTGACTTGATAGCTCTTTGAGCTCCTCTTACACCTTTTTCAGGTGTCCGTATGGTTCACGGTATATGAAAGTAGGACAAAATTTTACCTGGAGTGTCAGCCTATTGCTTTTATGAGACAGCAAAGCCCATTTAACAACTTGCTGTGATCAAAAGGGCTGGTCCTGTGCTCTTTCTTGTGCTAATACACAAAATTGCTGTTTTTTTGGCTGTGTTAACTAACAGATTTGGTGAGCAGGATTGGCACAGTGAAGAGTCACCGGAGCTGACAAGGGAGAAGCAGGAGCGTGCAGCTGAGAGAACGGGAGGGAAAGACTGCCATTTGATTGCATTACTGTCTTAAATTTGCTCTTTCCTGCTTGTGGAACTTTACCTTTTGAGAACTATCCAATCCAAATGAAGCAGCTACTTACTCTTTTTCTAGTGGTCGCTGAGCGTCTCTCCCCACTCCTTCCACCCCATACCAGCCATCCAACCAAAAGCCTCCCTACCCCTTGCTCTCTGTATCACAAAAAACTTTGGGCTTAAAGATAAAAAGGTTCTGGTTTTTGGAGGTACGGTGCTCTAGTTTTTGGGGCAGATCTGTATTTGAAAAAGTAATGAACGAATCTTAGAATTCTGATTTGAATAGATACTGAAAATTAGGATGCCTCTCTGAGGTCTGAAGTACTTCTTTGGGATATTTTTAGTTCTTGCTTTTTGTTAGACTGAAGTAGCACTAGCATTACTGTGTGCTGTGGTATAATTTCTAGTGCTTTTGCCTTTAACTTTTATATGGTTTTCTGTGAACAGATTTAAGTAAGATAGGTTTTTCTCTTTAAAGGAAACAATTTCTTCTGTAATTTTTAAATCCATTAACTTCCTCCCTCCCTTTCCCTTTGTAATACACCTATTAGTGGACACAGTTTTACTGGTCTGCAACAGTTTCATTGCTTGTACTGGTGTTTTTAATTCCCTCTGTAGGAAGTCTTCGATCTTGCAGTTCATCAGACTGCTTTAGTAAAGTGATGCCTCCAAGGAAAAAGAGGAGACCTGCAGCAGGAGATGATTTATCTGCTAAGAAAAGTAGACATGATGGGTATGTCATCTTACCGTGAGCTAAGATTGATGGAATATCTAAAGATGATTAGCTGATATGATCATGTGTTTAAATACTAATGGAAATGATATTCAAATTTGATTAGATTCTCAGTGTGGAACCGTGACCTTTAAATATATATATATATGTATATATATAAAATGTGTGTGTGTATATACATATATATATAAATAAAATATATGTATACACATAAACAGGTGCACACACACACACACATAACATGTAGATTTGGCATGCTAAATCTATAGCCCGTCAGAAAAGGGAATGTAGTTCTAGCCCACTCTTAGCCACTGTATTACCTGAAGTCTTAGCCTCTCTCTGTCATGTGGTTTTATACCCATTGTGTAATGGAAGGGTGAGGATTGTCCAGGCAAGGTTATAGCCAGTGGCGGAGTGGTGACTGAGGTGGTACTGCTCAGCTTCCCTCTTTCCTCTGGGCAACGCAAGCACAAGTGGACAATAATTGTGTGCGTGTGCAGTATATCCTTTTGGCATAGGTGCTGCATAGCTGGCACTTCTGGAAGTGCTGGACGTTCTATGTATGCTCAGTCAGCCTCAATCGCTCAGGAATCATTCAGTGTGTTCTTTGTGTGCAGGACAGTCATTACTTATGCACTAAAATCAGGGCTTCTTGAGAGTACAGGACGGTAAACTCCTACACAGTAGGTGCCATCACATGTTAGTAGAAGGGCTGTAGTATGCAGCTGTTGTTGTGTCATTGAAAGACAGTGACATGTACCTGAAAGCTTGGTTGCCACTGCGTAGTAGAATTTGAGCTCTATTGCATTGATATATTACGGGTGACTCAGAAAACACATGCTTCCATAACAAGTATTTTCGAAAAGGTAAAAAGATGCATTTCTTTCATAACTATCAGCCTGAAATCGGATTGTAACATCGGACTTAGGCTGGATGCTTTCTTTTTTATTCACTAGCACAAGTAAGAAAATTGCTGGTAGCCAAATTAAGCCTCTGGTTATGCCTCTATGACGCCATTGTGTTAAATAGCGTTGCACAACTGTAACTGCACTGGAATTTATTACATGATCTGTTGATGCAGAAGAAAAAAGATTTCAACTCTCCCTTTCATTGCTTTGCATATGCAGTGCTAGCAAGAACAAAAAAGCAGTATACCCTCTTAATATTTTTTGCTGCTTTTCAGAAGTAATAAAATCTAAGAGCTAACTAGCTGATAGAGGAGAGACACTACAGCTTACTCAAAGATATGGAATGTGAAAGTGTGGAAGTGAAACGAGGAAAAAATGTTTTTATCATTGCAGTAGAGATGTTCACATGGTTTGACTTTCCTTTTGCCGAGATGCAGACAGTAGAACGGAACAAGCAAAAAACCCTAGAACGTAAAGCTATTTGTAAGCAAGAGATACAGATTTATCTAATCAAAATAGTAAGTGATGAGAAGCTAATTTCTTACTCTAAGCAATATTAGTAGGACATAAACACACTTTCAATTTTTTGAAAGCATAATTTGAAGGATTTTTGTTATATCTGCCTTTCAGTTTATTATTAAGAGATCTAGTCTTTGTTCTACTGCATCTAAGGCTTCCTTAAAAGAGAAACTTCAGCCTGCTTCTAGAAGCAGAGGTTAAACCAGACCTGCTGGTTGTGGACAGCAGGGTAATATCCCTGTCTGTGATGTGATTCCAGTTTTTGTCCATCTTCCTTCTTAACTTTGAAAGATTTTTTTGGTCTTCCCTAGCTTCTCTAAGTTTCATTTTTTTTTTTTGTTTTAGCTTTCAAGGAAATTATCACTTCTTATTTCAGCATGATTAGTAATATGAATTAATTTACTGAACTTTCATCTCAGGCTTAGAGCTATGTTTTCTTTCTAGGAAGAATTTCTTAAAATCTGGCTTATACCTCTGTAATGTTCTGTGAACAAGTTGGGCAAAGAGCAAGCTATCTCCTACTTCCATGCTTGTTTGTTGGACGGAGCTCAAGCCTGTTGTGTTTGGTTTTGGGAGGTCAGGTTTCTCAGTGTAAAGCAGAAATGAACCTGAAATCAGGAATGACTACAGCAGCATGCTGTGACGGAACTAGTTATTTCTGATGGCATTTCTTCTTACTTTGTGGACAGAGAACGATAGCAACGCTATGGGTTGTGTCACTATATGGAATGAGAGGCCTATGCCCTGTTCTTTACCACTGCTGCCATTTTAGAGAGAGACTTTCTAGAAGCTGCATGCTGATACGTTAGGATAAGTCTTCAAGGGATGTTAATCTGTGTGGATTCTGTATGGTTAAGCAAAAATGTCACCTTCTGTACATTGCTTTTTGATGACAGGTAGAAGTACGAAGAGTCGTAGGGAAGGTAAAGCAAGTTTCATGTAAAGGTAGCTGCTGGGTGAGAGTATAGTCCTCATTGTGTAGTTACCTAGTTCTGTGTATTAGTTATGCAGCCTCTAGCCAACTACTGGGTTTTGCAGAATTTTCCTGAAGGGAAAAAGGAGCAGTATAACATATATGTCTCTCTCTCTCTGCGCCTTCTGCCCCCCCCAAATAGTCCCACTTGAAAAATTATCCTACTCATTCCGGGATCATGCGGAGGGGAGGAGTCTTACAACAATGGCTGTTTGGGCCTTAGAATGATGAGGAGTGAACGCTTTTCTGAAAGTTGTGTTTTCAAGCAATTCGATTTAGAGGTCTAACTCACTCTGGCTGTGCGTATGAACCACATAAGGGCCTACTTATTTGAAAAAATAGGTGAACTCTATTGAGCCCTGTGCTCTGCAGTGGAAAAATGCACGTTTTGAAAACATAGTCAATATAATATTATTAATGCTGGAGAGTAGAATAGGAGCGTAATAATCTTGGAATTTTCCAGCCCCTTTAGTGTTGAGAGGTTTTCTCAGTTCTCTTGCCATTTACTAGCTGGTTTGATTCTGCCCTCTTCAAACAGCCTGTGTTAACACTAGTCGTAGGTGGCTAGACCTTATTCCCTGAATTTAGAAAGTTTTCAAGTAAGCAGGGGTATATTTTTCTGTATTGCTTCACCTTTTCAGTGGACTTCACTTAATAGGTCTATTTTAAACTAATGTGATTACATGCACGCTGTTTATACACAGTGCCCCTTGCATGAGCTTCTTGAATTTCAAAACACTAGTTTAAATATTTAGAGATAACTGATTATTTAAGTAGGGAGGAATCATGCATAAAACTTACCGATCAAATGAATTTGTACAGAAGTAGTCTTAATCATGAGGATTGCTTGAGACAAATATTTGTCGTGCTTTGCAAACAATAAAACATTTCTTTTGCCTTTGACTTGACTACAGTATTTATAAAGTTTTACTGCTAAAATTATAATGAATAAGGCTTAAAAAAAAAAAAAAACCCAGTGCTTTCATAGACCTGCACTAAGGAAGATTATCAGTCAAAATGTTAGGATTAATTAAAACTTAATAAAAATAATAGGGAGCGTTTCCTTTTACCAAAAGTTTACATATTTCAAAATGTAGTTATAAATAATCAGAAAGCAACTAGCTTTTCAGTTCAAAGCTCAAACAAAATGGGGTTAAAGGTTTGAATGAGTTCTGGTTGCATAGAAACAAAGCTGTTCTTGGTAAACTTCTTAACTTGTTAATGTTTTCCTTCAGGAAACTGAACATCTGAAATGAGCAGGTTGTAAACCCTCACAAGGGGCTAACTGATGTCTTAAACTGTAAATTGTTTTTAAAATGAGCTTATTAGCAGCTTCCACAATCAAGAGAATGTTTTCTGTGAGCTAAACTTAAGGCTTTTATTAATATCAGTTTGAATATTCTGGAAACAAGCAGCCCAGAAGTGCTAATCTGGTGGGTGGAGCTCTTAAATTCTGGTACAATTGAAGTTTATTTAGAGTAGGAGCGGCTATCCAACTTTTACTATCCAAGATTGTTAAAGATTAAAGAGCATTACCGCAACCTCATTCTTTTTGCTGGATGTCCCTGAACACTTAACATGGCTTACCGAATCACCCCCTAATTGCTTGATGGGATTTCTACACACCAAATCAGTTACAAGTGGAGGGAAAAAAAAATCTGGAAGAGATATGGATGATTATGTATTTAATGAAACTTGAAAGACGTAGATGCGCTCAGATTTTTTTTGTTTGTTTGCTAAAGACTATAGCACTTTTGATGATAAACTAAATGCCTTATTTTTAATGCAAGGATATTTCAATTCCCCATCTCATAGGAATATTGCAAAAATAACTTTACAAATGAATGTAGTGAGTCAACTATGAGGTCATGATGGACATAGAAGCATTTCTGAGAAAATAATCTAAACATGGTTGTGTAGTTCACATCACTTTTGGTTAAACTTCAGGTAGGTTAATCTATCCCTTGCCTTGTCCCAGACTCTTTCCTCTCTCTAGTTGGTAAAATGGCTGTAAAAAGCCATAATAAAAAAGCAAAAGCCAAAAGCTCCTTAAGGGGAATGCTAGTTATAATACAGGGAAACATTTAGTGAAGTTGGCTGTCGCTATTTTGATACTGACAACCAAACTGTCAGTGTCAAACTAGTAAAGATGAATATTTTTTTCAAGTGAAGGTTATTCTGAATCACTCTAACTGCGTGCATGTCTCATGTAAGAGACAAATGCATGCTCCTTCTCCCTAGGCAATTTGTTTCCTCGCTGTATCTGATGAGCAGCATGCCAGGGTTGAGAAATGGATAGAGTAATTCTAAATACAAAGGCAGAAATTCAATTTGTGTCCAGTTTTCATTGTCTGATAGGTATATGTACAGCATATGCTCTGGGTAAAAATTCTGCATGTACCCTTTTAGCTCTGAGGATGAAGTTCTGCATGTATCCTTTTAGTTCTGAAAGTGGAGAAAGCAAACCCTAGCATTCCTTTTCGAACTGCGGTGTTCTCCAAAGCGGTAGAGTGTGATACCAGATATACTCATTGGCCCTTTCTTTGTGGAAAGTTATTTTTCAGACTCGGAGCAGTATATTCATTCACTCGTGGCATGTGACTGAAACTTTACAGGTTTCTCTGATGGACCATCAATGCCTAAGTGAGTTAGCATACTGTAATATGGTCAGTGTAATTACTGTGCATCTGTTTGAAGGTGCTAGTGTTACGGCATCCTGAGAAAAGTATAGGCCACTGAGGACTTGCCCTTTAAAGCTCGGATTGTTCCGTAGATGTTCTGCGCTCACAGAAAGTGTCCATATCTACCCTGTGTGCTCTGACAATTTGCATCCGTGTCGCAAGAGACAGTGCCCTCAGCACAAAGGCAAGGCACATCGTCTTGCAGCATGCACAAAAGATACGAGAAGATACTAAGACATGAGAAATATTCTAAGATACAAGGCAGATGCCAGACAGCTTCTGTGGCAGTTTGTGCTCTTCCCTCTGCACATAACGTTTCTTGAAACAGTTAAATCAGTGTTCTCTGAGCAACGAGGAATACAGTCTTTGGAATCTCCTTTACCCTGCGCTGCCAGGCTTGTTACGATACTGAACAGAGTTGCCCTGGGTGGTGATCTGGGATCTTGGTTTAATTCTGTTTGCAACTCCCTGCTAATCTCACTTCAAGCACTTCAGGGATTAGGAGTCTCTTGCTGATAGAGCTGGCTGGTTCTAGAAGTTTGTCTAGATTGCAGGTGGGGACAGTTTTGGTATTTGGAATAAGCAGGGAGAGAACAGGCTTCCTCTCTATACATGAGAGCCTACAAAGAGAGGTTTGCATTGGTGTTACTTGTCTCTGTCGTGTTCCTTTTCAAGTGATTCTTATGTTGCAGTGCAGATACTCTTGTATTAACTCCTTTAGGTTGACAGAATTGTATCTGAGATTGACCCAGCCGTTACTGTTGCATGGTTTTATGCTTCTGACCCTGCGTACTCTTCTTCATTACAAGCATGATGTGATGTCACTTGCACTTTTAATCAGTGCCTGGTTAATCGAGTTGTAGCAGAGACCATGATAGCGCGGGAGCCTATTTACTTTCCAATTGTATTTTCTGAATTTTGTGAAGTAATTTTTCTTACCATCACAGCTTGAAGATTTTCAATCAGTTTAGCTTCTCAACCAAACTCCAGTGGTCAGATATTGAGCTTTCGAACAATGATAAGTTTGAGGCCAGAGCATTTTGCTTGAAGCTACTTGACCATATATTGGGCATGTCTGCTTTTATTTGTGAGTATTGTTATTTCCCGCAGTTCTTAAATGGTGCCTTCAGACTTAAGCAGATCAAACAGAGTTGCAGTCCCGTGTCAGTCGTATGAAAACTTGCTCTACTTAGAGGCAGTGAATATACAAAAAGAGGTGCTTCTTTTTGTTCTCATTTTCCATTCCCCTTATACTTCCTGTTATTGTTGGTGCCTTGGTTCAGGCTGTAACGTTAACTCTACTGCTTGTAGATGCAGGAATCCTTTTCCTGAAATAACTGGATGACCTACAGCTCTGTCACCAGATTTGTTTCTTAAGCATTCCTTCCCAAATCCCTGACAGCTAATGCATTATTGAGTTACATGAGTGACCAAGGAGGCACTTGGTTATCATCTCTTCAGAAGAAAAAACATTGTCTTGGGGTGAATGTCTGTCTTTGGGAAACATGCTGGCTTGGCATTGTTCTAGGTCCCAGCAGTATTCTTGTAGACGTCTTAGACAAAAATGTTTACTGTTCCTGCTACAATCAGTTTTAAACTAGGTATTCCAGTTGGTGTTTTATCATGTTTGCTTGCTATAAAATGGTGATATGGCATAATTAAACTTTTGCCAAAGTTGCAGCATGATTAGCATGCCTCCTTTCTTTGGCAGACAGAAAAGACTTTTTTTGCTTCCTCTGAATTCAGAATATTCAAAGTCTTATTGTGCAGGTCTTTCCTAATTGCAGTTGGTTCTGCAAGTGGGAGGATTAAGTTATCAGACCTGTTTTTAAAAAAAAAAAAAAAAAGCTGCAGCTCTGACTTTATACCTTCTGACTTAGTAGCTTTACAACTGCAGTAAAGCTTATTTAAAAAAAAGGTAATTCGAATAGAAAAACAAGTCTTCAAAATGAGAAAAAACTTTTTAGACTTGGTCTGTGATACTGAAAATCTTGGGTAATGCGATGTTTGATACGTGTATGGCTGATGTTTGTCTGCAGTTTTTCACTTTGTTGCAGATCAGCGTGTTTCAGTACTGTGTTAAATTTTCTTTCCATCTTGAAATTTCTTGAAGACTCATTTGTATTTGTCTTCCAATTAGCAATTTATCATTTTGTTGTGACCAGTACTACTATTCTAGGGCTTAGTTGCTTTAAAAGAACAATGATGACAACTATGAAATAATTCTTTGAGCTGCTGTCAGAATGATCCATGTGCTGTTAACGTCCAGATACAGCTCCTCCTGGCTGATGTGTGAGCTAGGTAGAAGTGGGATCTGTTACTCCAAGCTCTTATGCATAAGCTCCTTTTATGCGTCCTTCGTCCTAGAAGGACAAAATAGTGATGAAAACAACCCCGAGTTACTTTCATCAAGTCGTTTCAGAATTCTCCTTCAATCAGTTAGTCGCTCTGTCCTCCCACAGCAGGATCTGACACCGTAAGAGAAGGGGCTGCATGCTTGGAACATTTCCAGAGCCTTTCTTGGCTACCTCCTCTGGACTAAGCTGTTCGTTACTCGGCTCTTTTCAGCCATTGTGAGCCCGAGCTACGGCAGCATGTATGGAAATGGGTCAGAGAGTGTGTATGCAGCAGTGACCAACCGCTTGGAGTGCTGAGTCTTTTCCCCCTACCAAGCTGGCACAAATGGTATTGTCTCTGTTTCAGAAAAGTCTAAACAGCACGGAGTAACTCATCGACTTCTGAATTTAGCATTTGAAACAGTTAAAACGTGGAAGGCGTAACAGAAGACGGGTACTTCAGTATCACTGCCTGAATGTAGCTGAAAGTCCCTAAGCTTCTTGTCCAAAGAGAGCATTACTCTGCTAATCATCTCTGGTGGTGGTGGGGTCGCTACTGATCTAGCCTTTCAAATGGCTGTTTATTTGAGTTACTGTCAGTTAGGACCTGTATCCTGTTCTGTGAGGTGTGGTTTGTGGGTGTGTGGGGTGGTGGGTTTTTTTTTTTGTTTTTTTGTTTTTTTTTAAAGTTGCCAACTACTGGCTTTAGAAGAATGTAATTGTGAGTCATGGATACTTTGGCCTTAATCCTTTTGCCTCCTTGAAATCCTATAAAAGGCGTAATGTGCAACTCTCCTTGTCTAATAAATAATCTGAAGCGCATGAAGCGTGTGTACACCTACAAGTCGGAGCTATGATCACTATGATAAGGAATTACTGTGTGTTTAGACCCACAGCCAAGTTGCAGCCATCAGCTGAATGTGGTAACTAGCAGTCTGTATGTGAAAATCTTACCTTGTGCTGGTGCAAGGCATTTTGGGGTTGAACTTGAACAGTTCTGTATTTTTGTAAGGCAAGTTCATGCACATGGACAATTATTATGGATCCTCTAGGAGTGTGATGGACTGTTGAGCAAACATATTTAGGTTCAATGGCTCTTAGTCTTTTAAGCAGTTCCCCCAATGGCTGGGTAAGAGGACAAGACGTTGAGTAAAGTGGTTAGTGAAAGAAAATGTGTAGCTGTTTACAATGGCTATTGACTAAAGGATTGCTTTTAAAAATTTGATGAATGAATTATTTGTTTCTCTCTTTTTTAAGTATGTATAGAAAATACGATTCAACTAGAATAAAAGCAGAGGAAGAAGTCTTTTCAAGTAAGAGATGCTTAGAATGGTTCTATGAATATGCAGGTAAGGGTGACATACAAATTTCCTTCTGACAACAGCTTAATCTACATTGGAAAGTAAAAATTGCATTAACTGAGCTTTTTAAAACTGAATATAGAGGCATTTTGGCAAAACGGGTTTAAAGAAGGAAACTTCTTATGTTCTATGTAGCATGAAGTTGAAGATTTCAATGTACAATTTGTCTTGTTGAATAAAAAGAATGGAGAAGGTGTGTATTTTAAAATAAATATATTTAAATGTATATACTTGACTACTCAGATCTATAGTTAAAGCTATATTTCTATCCAAAATGTTCTCTCTTGCTTAGAGGTCTTATCACTTGCGTTTTTTTTTTTTTTTTAGTGAAGCATCGTTTATTTTGTTCCTGCTAAATCTGTTGGTTCTGTTTTCAAGCATAACGGTGAATCAATTCATGTATCCTGGAATGGTCTTGTCTTTTAGTAGTTTTCTGTCCTGTGATACAGTGAAGGTAGACTGAATTATTTTTTCCTGTTCTTGTGTATGAGAACTTTCTTCAGTCATTACTTCTAAAATTACTCCTTGTGATCGGGAGTCACAACAGACAATCCTCGAATAGTGAAGTCATTGGTCACTGTTTGGTTTCATTCTTTTACATGTGCTTTTCTGAAGGCAAGAATTTGAAATATGGGAAAAAATGATCTCGTGACTCTAGAGAAGACGAAAAGGAAATGAAATAGGTGGTTGATGAAGGAAGTAAGGTCATCTGGCAGTTTGCTTATACTGTCTCGAATGACATTGCTCTCAGTTCATTCCCTTTTGTCTACTTTCGACATGTAATGAAGAGTGACTTAATTTGGTATAATAAAATTTTCTTCTAATAGCATTACATAAATTAAACCAGTCTGAGATCTCTTGTCTGTGGCAGTCTATTCGGACAAGGCAAATCTAACCTCTTAGATTCTGTAGACCAGTTTGTTTTTCTTTTCTTTTGTTTTTCTTTTCTTTTTTTTTTTTTTTTTTTACTCTGACAACAGGGATAACTCATTCCTATCAAGAGTTCAGTGGAAAGGAAGGACAAAAGGAAGACGATATGAGAAATAACTTTTGATTTTTCCATTGGCTACATATGCCAAGATAAAGCAGAGGAAAGTGGAGAGTATGATTTTGTTCACAGTAGTGAATAATATTCTAAAAAAATGCATTTTCAAAGGTTAATCTTTTCTGTGTGCTTACTTCATAAGTTTTCTTTTGTATTTATGCAGACAGTTGGTACTGCATTTGTTTCTTTC